TTTTTCTTAGAAAGAGTTTTGGGTTGTTTTGAGGTTCAGCAGCAGGACACCATATGCTCAGCAGCTCCTCACAGATGCAGATATGGGCAGGTCTATTTCAGGGGCACCAAGGACAAATTAATCTGTCTCAGACTACCCGACGATGCCACACAGAGCTCCCCCTCTCCAAGTTGTCGCCGCGGCCTCTTGATTTGTCTCATCTGGAGCCCTTGGACCAGTTCCAGCTGCAACACCAAATCACTAAATCAATCCAATCAGCCGATCTGCTGTTGAGCACCGCTCTGCTGCATATGTCCCCCCCCTCCTCTTCAATTCCCTCCTTTCTTCAACCCTGCCTCCCACTCTCTTTGTCTAAATCCTTCCCTGCTGAAAAAAGGAGCAAGAAAAGTCAAAAATAGAAACCTCGAGCCTTCTTTCTCTCAAGGGCTGTGAAAATCTAATCAAGACAGAGGAGCTAATGTTCGGCCTGCTGTAATTTTGCCTTATTTCACTGATGAAGAGCTGCTTCCTGACAGTCACCTTTTGTCTTTTCTCTTGTTAGGCAGTGTTTACGCTTTCATTTTTTTCTTCTCCCTCAATTTCTCTCCATTTGACTCGGTTTGAGAATGAAAGTGCCATTTGTAAACTAAGTGAGTATAATGCAAACAACTTCAAGGACCCGCTGACTGAATTAAACATATGCGAATACAATAGGAAACTTTCTGCAAAACAAATTGGAGAGCTTTAATCCTTTGCATCTGCTGTTGTTGTGGTGGTGGGGAAAAAAAACAACAAAAAAAACAACGTTACTGGAAACAGTTAACAGAAAACTCAGCCTTGTAGTTTTCAGAATTATTTAGGAGGTTATGGTTGCGTGCCGCATCATCAACTCAGCAGGTTTTCCTCCTACATAAGCTTTAATTATGCAAAAGAAATCAAATCAAGTCACAAAGCGATCTTACAGTTAAAAGTTGATTGCTGGCAAGTCTGCTCGTCCCTCTGACACACACACACACACACACACACACGCTTCCTGGAGTGAAAACAAAAGGTTTAATCAAAAAAAGCACTGTTATCCTGCGCCTTGCGAGGCCGTTTTATTCGAGCAGTAATCGGCCCTCCCTGACTGATAATCGCTGTGATTGAAGGAGAAGATTTAGATTTTTGGTTCAGAGGGCCTCTGGGGTGGGTTTGTGATGGACAGACAGGTAAGGAAATGTCAGAGGGACGTACAGCGTTGGATTTGAGAGAAAGACTTGAATAGAAATGAACAGCTGTTTGAAATAATTGTTGCTG